CATTGTTGAGACCCGTCGGAAAATTGGAAATTTGTTATGTTGTCGAGTTTGTTGGAATCGATACGCAAGAAAAGTTATTTCAAAATATGTGTAATAAACTGCAATTCGTACATGAATGTTCGACAGAAAATGTAAACAATTAATAATTATTAACAGAATTCAAGCACTCAATTACGCTAATATTGTACATTTTAAGATCAAATTTCGCCAAGACACAAAAGAATCCCAAACATCTGAAATCGTCGTCGAATGACTACATCCTAGCCCTAACAAATTATGCATATGTATATTTATATAGAAAGTAGGACTATGTTTAAATAGGCGATTCCCAAGACGTACTTTGGCTGGTTTGGAGAACCCAGAAATATAAACCATCTTTGATCTAAAATAACCAAGTCAATAACATTTCGATTTATGGAGAAAAGATATCACGAGAATGTTCCATATATTCTAAAAACATAAATATTAACAGCAAACCAAAACTTATAATGCGCGCTCAGCAGAGCACATGATGTTCACTGCTTTATATAGCGACATTTCTGGGACATTTCGCGTCATTTTTGGTTCGATTTTTGAAGTACTCTAACTTTTCTTCATTTTGTGTTTCATGGCTGAAACTTCAGTAAATGTGTGGGGTTGGATAGGTCTACAATATATATAAAATCGAGGGGAAGTGAAGAACTTTTAGTTTTTCATATCTGCCAGAAAATGGCGAATTATTGCGATTTTTACAGACAAGCTCTCTTAATGTGGTGTAAAAACTTTTGTAAATTATCTAGTCCATGAGATCAGCTACTCAATGTATCATCCACGGTACAACAATTTTGTTCTTATTTTTCCCCGAGCCGACGGCGCGAAGCGCCGTGCGAGGGTACAAATCCCCCCGGGTTAATTACACCCGGGGAAACGAAAGCATTGGCGAACTCTAAAGATCATTAATTATCGCGATCGTGGGTGACCAATGATGTTGGGTGCGTGGTCATCCTCACTGATCTCAAAAATATGGCGGACTGTCATGAATAGCGAACACAGATTGGTCGAATTTAAAGTTTGCCATATATTATATTATAACGATTGCATGTATGATGACAGCGAAATAGCAAATATTTCTTGATTTGACGATTGATAAATTTCTTGCAAATATGTTTCATTTTGCTCGCATTTTTGCAAGATTTTGTAAATTTCAAAAACTCTCTCTGAAAGAAACTGCAAAAGAATCGGCTAAAAGAAGGGAGCTGATGTAAATGAAGGTAAATTTGTTTTAAATATTGATTTTATTATGCCTCTTTAAAACCTGCTAGCCTTTGCGTATACTGAAACAACTAAACAAGACAGCATATAATTTCATTGTATCTTAAATATTGATTCCCTTTTTTATGATATTGAATTTTTTAAATAAAAAAGAAGCAAAGTTATTTGCAAGCGAAAATTTGAAATGCAAACTTTGACTTGCAAACTCAAAGTTTATCGATATATAAAGCCATTTTAAAAGGGAGTTTAGTTTGATGAAGAACAATAGTGATTTTAAAACGTTTTACGAAGCGTTTGTGGTTGAATTACCTTAAATGGAGGCTTACATTATGTATAATAACACACCTAACATATATATGTTGAGGAATTAATAATTTTGTAATTACAAGTGATATTTTTAGGCGATTTTTCATTTCTAAGCATATTCTCAAAAAGTTATCGTGTTACCATGACAACTACTTTAGATACTTCATGTTCGGAAAATACAATGGCTTTGTCAGCAACGCGAGGGTTACTGCATGCATATATTTTCTAGTAACTTCTTGTCATATTTATTGTAGAATGCTGGGGTCATTTTTCTGACAAATTTAAACATTTTTACTAAACCGTGTCGTTTGCCACCTACAACTCCCCCACCCCCACCTCCACCCAGACGGACACGACCACCACTCCGATGGAAACCATTTCCACGTCCATGGAGACCATTTCCACGTCCATGGATATCATTTCGACGCTGCATTTTTGCTTGCTTTATGAGCCCTATGAGTTACTCTCGCTCCTCGCGTGTGTTAATTGACAGATCGAAAAAAAGATTATCTACATCAGGTAAGATATTTGAAATAAATCTATAATTTCCCTCATTACAATACGTAGTGGAATGAACGCTATTGGCATCTCAGAAATATATAAATCAAAATGTCAGGAGATGACGATACTGTTGTGCACTAAATAAGGACGATATCATAAATGTCACGGGTGAGCGCAAGGAGCAAGCAACATTTATGCACTCTAAAAACATCTTGGTTAAATTTAACCAATATGGGGTTAAATTTTAACCAGGAAAGTATTCCATATGGGACCGACGCAGTCCTGGTTATATTAACCAGGAAATCCTGGTTCCATTGATTAACCAGTTATTCCTGGTTAATTTAACCAGGAAACATCCTGGTTAAATTTAACCAATATGGGGTTAAATTTTAACCAGGAAAGTATTCCATATGGGACCGACGCAGTCCTGGTTATATTAACCAGGAAATCCTGGTTCCATTGATTAACCAGTTATTCCTGGTTAATTTAACCAGGAATTACTGCTAAAATTTTGACTTGTATCCCAGTTAAATTTAACTTGTTAACGGATCAAATTTATAATCTGATGTTCCTTGCTTCTTTGACATGTTTTTCAACACAAAATTCGTACTGAACAGGGTTTATTTTTAGAAAAATTCACATAATATTGTTAAGTACTAAATTAACTAAATAATTGTCTTGTTTTTAATTTAAATCAAGGATCACGCAAGAGGTTATTGTAGCTAATATAAAAATATTTTCAAAAACCTCTTATATGATCCTTGATTTAAATTAAAAACAAAACAATTATTTAATATGAACAGAGGTGAAAGTTTCAGAAAAACAATTAAATTAACTAATTTAACTCTTGGAATGTTTTTGTAGTTTTAACACTGCATGATCGCCAACAAAGCCATTTACTTTAAAGCTGCTCTCATTGCAACAACAGCTGGGGTTGTCTTTCCTTTCACCTTATCTTCGATGCCATAGAGAACTTTTTGTATGAATTCCCACGACGAAGAGCATTGCCAAGGATAATTAATATCCAGGATGTAAAATACTTTAAAACAAACATCAATTGCCTTCGTAAGATTAGGCTGCTCCAAGCCCTGGCCTTCGATGATAACAAAAACTTGTGTTGGGTTGTAGCGATTACCGATTGCCAAAACAAACGGGCATCTTGGAGCTTCTTCTAAATATTTTGGCATGTTTGTACCAACCTAAATATGAGAAATATTTTAGACCTTTATACGCAATGTTCCGAGTTATCATACTTTAAATGACATATGATAATGCATACCGGTTGGCAATCGATAAAAGCACTCAAAGCTTCATCAATTGTACATCGTTTTCTATTCTTTCTTCCAGTTGGGAACACGCATGGAAGAAGACCAATTGCTGCATTTTTTCTCTCTTCATCTATAAAGTTTATTTTGAACCACTGCTTTCAATTTGAAAACTGAATTTAGACCTTTGATGCGAAACCATTTCCTATA